TTCCCTTGTATGCAGCGGCTTGTAGTGCATTGCCATACTCGCCACCCTGAGCATTCACCTCTGCCCCATGCTCGAGGAGAAGCCGCACAACTAATTCGTTTCCCCCGTATGCAGCGGCTTGTAGTGCATTGCGATAACTGCCACCCTGAGCATTCACATCCACGCTATCCTCCTTCCTGCTCACTAGTAATTTACAGACCATCACTAAATCTAACAAGCAGGAATAGTAGATAGCTGGTGGGTAAACACCGGAGCCCGTGGTGTTAAATCGGTAAGGATCATCGGGGTCATATACATCTAACCAGCCCTTTCCAAGTTCGAGAACCTTCACCGCCGCGTCGGAGATTGGTGTGGGTGCCGTATCCTCAATGCATTTGGTATAGACAAACCAATAACGAGCACTGTGATAGAGGAATGACGTTTCTTCGACTTCCTCCCTGTTTAAAGTGCCTTGGGCACTATGTCGCAGTATTCGACTGAGGCACGCATGCCCCATCCGTAAATTGGCTTCATCCTCGGAAATATGATAGTAGGCACTGGGGCCCTGAGATGCCCGGTCGGATATCAAATATTCCTTTACCGAGAAATGTGCCAGTCGTAATTGGCGGTCTTCCTGTGGGGATGATTCATCGTCCCTAGCATCCTCGAAGGAAATAAGGCTAGGACAAATGCTCATGAGGCAACCGCTATCAAAAAGAGCCCGAGTCTTAGGATCCTCGCCATATTTTTCGACATCGTATTCGATCACGGCGGCCTCCGCAAGCTGGCCTAATGTCAAAGGCACTGCCGAAAATGCAAGCCAATTCATCGCTCGCTGGATGTATATCCTCTGCACCTCATCGATGCTTTCCAGAATCCTCTCATAGACGGAATCCAAGTCTTTAGGCAACTTCCTCAACGCTTCTCTTGCATCGTCCGGCGCCAAACATGCTTCTAGAATTCGCAAAAGACAATCCACCCATCGGAACCTTAACATTCCCACCCTTGTATTAGCATAAATTAAAATCTCAATAGTCAAGTATAACATACATTCCTTGCGAACGGACAACTAGTGTGTCCTCTATCTCATTCTTAATTTCTTCGGGGAATTTCTTGAAGCCATCCTTGCCCGATAGAGATTTCTGTACATATGTTCGGATGTCCGGATCGATAGTTTTAGATTGTAGCGAAATTGAAAAAGCCGTGAGTGGTTCTAGTGATCCCACTATATCGGCCTCGGGACGGCTGGTGAGGAGAATGGAAAGCGATCCAGCCTGATGATCAACGGTAAGCTCCTTGATCCAAGATAGTAGACTCTCCCGTGTGCCCTTGGGGAATTCATCCAAGGCATCGAGGATGATAAATGTCTTCCTGAAATCCTTTATAATGTGCGACAATAGAACCTTTAGAGTGCTGGTATCCGCCGACTTCCCAATTGCCTTGGTACTATTATAGAGGTCTACAACCGCAGCTGGCAGACCCCGATCCGAAGGCCTTTTTGGAAGTTGGCCAATAAGGGATAGAAGCATATTGTCCAATTTCTGCTTTTCGGAGTCGCTGAAGCTGAAGTAGAAATAAGCTAACGCGTAATCATCGTTCATGTTGCACACCCTTTTGACGTCTTCAATGGAAGTAGCACTAAAGATTAAGTTAGCAATCTGGAAATCATATTGCTCCTCCGGATATCCACTTGGGCTCTCACCTGAGGACACTCTTGCCACATCCGGCTACAAGATGCAAATTTTAGTGATATTCTTTAGACAAAAGATTTCACCCGTCTGTACACTTACGTATTCCGTAAAGCCAGAGAACACCCCCTTGGTCACCCTTCCAGTCATTGTACTCATCTCCCTCCAGCAGCCAATTCCCCGTACCAGGTTCACGAACGGCCAGTGCAGATGAATAGTTGGAGGCTGGATCAACGACATTAAGCCATTTGAGTACTTCCCGGAATTCTCTCTCTGAAATCTCGACAATAGTTGATATTAGTAAGGAAAATAAGTAGCACAGTTAAGAATGATGTGACCAAGTACCATCCAGCTGTCGCGACATCTTTGTCACGGTCTTCCTAAACAACTAGTTAGCCTTCCCACCGAAAAGAAAGAAAATAGAGATGTTAGATTCCCGGGGCGTAGAAGAATGGATAACCTACGTTGTGGCTGTAGCCAACAAGAGTTGAAGTCTCAATCTCTGCTCTCCAACCAAGCCAAGGTAACGCTCCATTTTTGGTTTCTGAAAAGGCCAAAGATATTTTCGGGAGTATTTCCTCCATCCCGGAACATCTAACCTTTTCCTCAGCTCCTGGAGGGCTGTCCGGTAACCCCTCAAACTATCGTCTTCTGTCCATCCCAGAAGGCTAGGGTATCGTGGGTTGTTCTTATCATCTCCGGTGGCAAGGCTTTGGATTTCCTCGAGTTGTTGATTGATACTTTTAATCTCGTCCCCCAGTTTCTTGAAATCCTCCTGGCTCCCCTTGACTGCATCGTAGTAGTCATAGCAAAGTCGGCAAACCTTCGCGCTCAGGTGAATGAGAGCTAAGCCGCTGGCAGCCACGGAGAAGGGGTCCGCCATTTCTCTTCTCCTGGATGTTCAGAGATTAAAGTGCGGAAGCGGGGAAGTGCGGCTTTGATAGCTTGCTGCTTTTTAGCAGTGAAAGCAAAACAGAAGCTGGAGTTTGCTTTTCAGGTGGACGGGCCGTCAATCCTTAGATTCTTTTGAGCTATGCTTTTCGACTGCGGATTCAAAGATGGGTGGAAAATAGCAATAGGTCGTACTCTTAGAGGGCTTCTTGGGGGAGCAACGACATTTAGGTTCAGCTCGAGCGGGGGCACCCAAATTCGCGCGCTTGCACACAAGAAGGGCAGCTGCACGCCTCGTTGCTGTCGGCAAAACTGGGGGCCAACCATTCGACTACAGATCAGCCTCATGCTAACATTTTTCGTAGCGATCGGAACTCCTCGCCTTGCATGGGTGTTGGCGCAAGCGATGGGGATTATGCTGAGTTGTGTGCATACTTCGTACGGATTGGGGAAACAATTACAGTAATTCCGACGCGCTCTTAGAGTACTGTAAATGGACACGGGGTACAACTCCCCCCGGGACCCAAATCAACCCGTCGGAGATTATTTCTAATGACAAACACGTGTGGCGCAGCACGTTCGTTTGCCAAAAGTCTCGCCGACGACTGCGGTGGCCACCTCCGCCTTGCGAAAAAACCGGTCTTTCAGTAGGAAAGCGGCTATCAATCTACGGACCCTCATGATCACCAAGCTCCAGCCGGGTTTCTGGAGACCATGTTTCGGGGAAAGCTCGGACTGCGCTGGTAGAGTGGTTTCTTTTTCCTGGCGTTATAGGCGGGGCTAGCTGGGCGGGAACTGTACGAGTACGGGTGCTTGTGGAGACCACCAACGGTAGGTGGCCGGGAAATATGGGCAACCCCTGCATGTTTTGGCGAAGCGGAATGCTATCCAAGTGGGAGCCGGCTCTGCCATACTTGTGCCGGGTAACAAGTACTCGAGTGCCGGTATCCGAAATACGGCTTGTGCTATCCAAGGGGCTCAAAGATAACGTTGAGCACGGATGCCCGGGTCATAGTTGCACCGAACTCAGCCACAGCTAACGTGTGATAGATCGTGATTCCACCCTCGCTTCAATATCAGCGATGCAAATGAAGGGTATTATTAGAGAATAGAAAAAAACAAAGCTAAATCAATACTTTCTCTACTGGCCCTCAACCACAATAACCACTTTTATCCTTTCTGGCATACTAATACTTTCTACTCGGACCATTGATGTTGTAGCGAAGGGGACACTGCGACTCCCGTTAGTCAGAGTTGCCTGCGTTGCAACGCTGACCCTTGCACTTGTGGCTCTGATCTACTTTACCGGTATTATGAGCCACGGGGATAAGTTTACAAAGCCACTTTCCGATATTAGAGGGTTCACACAGCCCCGCTCTTGGAAAGGTGAAGATATTTGCACAATCCCCTCTCAACCCGGGGACCGAATGACTCTGCTCGAGTACCGGACGAACGCTTCACCTCGACAGAAAATTACAGGCAGTCTAGACCGTGTTTCCCTCATCCGGGTCATCCCAGTTGGCTCTCGGCGTCTTTTCCCCTCCTTCACCTCTCAATTGTGTTATGCAGTTGTCAATTTGGGACAATTTTCTGCGCTTTGTCTTCCCGTAGGTCGACAGGCCAGACAAACCCTCCCCATGGGCGGTGCCACCCCGATGGAGAGTTGACTGGCGGTTAAGCGACCGGCGAACCTTGTGCAGCTCGCAAGCCCCTCAGCTTCGGGGTTTTTAACTAATGGTGAAGGCAATCCTTCGGCACTCGTATGATAGAGCCGTCTCCCACGCATTCCACCCCCCATGAATTTTCCTTCTATCACCCCACCCATTTTAACCCTCTCATCACCCCGGGCCACGCTGACGTAGCCACCAAATCTTCCAAAAGAGAAAAAAAAAAAAGGATTCTTGGAGCTATTGCCAGTTCTCTAACCGTGAGAATTTCACTCCCCCTAAGACAGGCTTCACCGACAACGGCGGAGAAAGGGGTAACAACAACTATGATACCCCAATCCACGTGCTATCGCTGCACACAATCCCCTAGATTCTGGTATCGCAGAGTTTCATGCTACTTCTAGTCCCTACCTCGCCTATCGCATGAGGCCATCAAAATCGCACTCGACCCCTTCTCTTCCCTTCATATCTGGGCTCCGCTCTCCCCTCCGGCACTTTGCTCTCTATCATTCATAATTAGTCACGGCCCTTCCTATCCCATTCTGCCGCCTACCACTCACCATCGATACCTGACCTGCTAGCATAATAGTCGAGTTCCCCCGATTGCATTCTCTCATGCCGAATAAAAATGCATCCAGCCTAGGTCCGTGTTGGCAGAGGTCTGGGGGGGGGTGTTCTACGTACGGTAATACCTTACCCTATCCAGCGAACAGGGTATGTTGTTAGTCAACCTAACTCTCCGACCGCTACAGTTCCCCTCTAGTCTTCTCCCACTTCTCGCATTCTTCCTTGCCACGAACAGCATGGCTTATCGTCGAACGCTACCCAGACCTTGTTTAGCCTTCCAGCAGGGAGCCACCGCGGGCTTTAAAATTGCTAACGGATGCCACGACCGCGGCCCCCCCGATAGTACCTACACAGCTTCTGGTCTTTCTTGGACACGCTCTGGGGTATTGTAACCATAGGATACAGTGGATACCAGCTAACGCTTACCACCCACCTCGCCCTGCTCGAAGGATAGGGAGGTAGACTGTTTGTGGACTGGGTGGAACTCTTGGCTCTTTTTATCCGTTTCTTTCCCTCACCCCCTTAACCCGCGCACGGTGCCTCTTTGTCGGTCATTAGGAGGTTAGGTTAGGTTATCCCACATTCTACCACCTCATTGCGGATAGCCTTTCAGATTCCTTGCCATACTCACCAAGGCACCTCTTCCCCCAGGCAACCTACTTGCCTATGAGGTACCAGAGTCCGGCAGCTGCTATGGCACCTCATTGCTCCCCTAGTCCTTTCTTATGGCTCCCCTCATGATTATCTTCATTTGTGTCTTTCCATTTTTCAGGCTCTC